AGTTTCTGTGTATTATGTATCATGTTAGATTATGTGTATTCAATTATGAGTTTCTATGTATTCGATCTCTTATGAGTTTATGTGTATTTGAAATAAAGGAACCTTTTTTTGACAATGCACCAAAAGGACGTCGTTTTAGGTAGGGTGGGGTACACAATGCATTGTGTGCCCTGGTGCACGATATACCGACTGATATTAAGGGGAGTTTGTTGAGGGTACAAATTCCACCCTAAATAGAGCTTCCACTTCATTCTTTAAATCACAACTTGAAGACTTGAGAGCACTTGACGATTTTTAAGGCACTTGAAGAGTTGAAGGTCCACTTGAATCCCGGAAGAACACGTCACTTAAATCTCGGAAGCACACGCCACTTGAATCTCGAAAGCACACGCACCACTTGAATCTTGGAGGAACACACCACATGAATCCTGGCTTGAATCCCGAAGGCACACGCTACTTAATCCTCTACTTGAATCCAAGAGGCACACACCACTTGAATCTTGGAGGTGTTGGTCTCGGTAGGGTCGAAAGGAGAGTCTAGAGGAGGGGGGGGGGAGGGTGAATAGACTCAATTCGTTTTTCTCGACAATAACTCCTTTCGGGGTTATTACGCAAGTGGATAAGATATATTGATTTTAAGTTGCTTTGCACTATTTGCTCTTTTAAGGATATTCTCGGTTAAGGGTGAATGATATGCAATGCATGAAAGTAAAGGACTGAAAAGTAAAGAGAGAGAGAGACACAATACTTTATAGTGGTTCGGCCAACTGTGCCTACTCCACTCTTTTTTCACAACTTGTGAAAGGTTTGCACTATCACTCCTAGTACAAAATACACCAAGTTAGCTTCCTTGATCACTAAGCCGGACAGCTACTTGAAGGTTTTTCAACTCCTAGAGTTTACTCCGCCTCTATCAACTTCTTCTTCAGAGTTGAGGGTTGGATGAAAATAATCATCGAGGTTCTCCAACTTGCTGAAATCTTGACTGGCTGGTGAATTGATGGATGATCAATGTATACAAGATTGCAAGACTTCTTCAAGGATATGCGAATGAGATCGGATACGTCAACTTGCAAACTTCACACCTTGAATCACTGGTTTTCAAAAGCTTGAGAGAGTGAACTTTGTATAAGGAGCTTTTGAGTGTAAGTATTCGATTGTTCTAAAAACCAGCACCTTCTATCATGGAGAAGATGGTATTTATAGATGAGAAATAATCCACCCGTTGGAGGGAGATAGCATTTCAAACCTATGAACCAGTGAGTAAATGCGGGAGAGCCTTGTGCATTTATTGCTTCATTAAATGCAGTTGTACTATATAGACGTTGAAGAGAAGCACTCCTGCTTATTTTGTCTTCTAGCTCTGAAAAGTAGTACCTTGGCATTTAATGCACCTTGATAAGTGTGCTCTCAGTCTTAGGAAAGCTTATTCCTAGGATAATCTTCAGATGAGACATTTGACAACATTCTTCTTGAATTGAGAGAAGATGAATTGTCTTGACGGTCATATCTTGAATTAAAAAGTCTCCAGTCCAGAAGGCTTCTTTTGGCTTCTGCTTTCGGTTGTAGAAGATCATCTGTTATTTCGTGGTCAGCTTCATAAATTCTTCTTTCGGTCGACAAGGCTTAACTTAAGAGATCATAACTCGGTTTCGTGTGTTTGACTATCTTAACACGAATTACATGGTGAGTTATGGTACCTTTCGTCTATAACAAAGGCAACAGAATAAAAGACAAAAAGTTAGGGGTCTACTTCTAAGTTACATTGGTATCATCAAAATCCTAATACATATGTTCCTAACAATTTCCCCCTTTTTGATGATGCCAAAACCTATACTCTGCTTATAAGGCCGATAAATATCCTATAAAGGATTTTTAATTTCAAAACAACTAAATAGAAGAGTTTACACTCTGTTTCTACGATTTAAAGAAAATACAAGTATTTAGAAGCAGATAACAGAGATAGTAACACGACAGATGGAACAAAAAATGACTTTTATAAAGATCAAAAGCACTTACAAAATATTGTCAATGGTTTGGTGGAAAAGAAACTTTTACATCTCTAAAAGTTTCGCCTTCTGTAGCCGAGCTTCTTCTCGTTCCTTATCATCTCTTTCTCTCTGTTTCTTGAGCATCCTCTCCATGTCGATGTCTCGGTTGATATGCTCTCTGAATTTTTGGATTGGATTTTCTCTGACGAGATCTTCATATTTTCCTTTTATGTTGCAGCTCACATAATTGTTGTATGCTTCGAGGATGTTTTCTCCTTTAATGATGCCGAGGTTCCACCAAGTAATAAGCTCAAATGAGTGCATACCTTCGGTGTAGCTCTTTCCAGATTCTTCATGGACTTTGAAAGCAGCATTATATTTGACTCCAGGCTCAGCATCTTTCTTGATTTTCGTAACATCTCTTATTTTCTCCTTCACTCTCTCTCGTTCAAACAGCTCCTTTTCTCTGGCAAGTCTCGCTTCTTCTTGCTTATCCCAAAGCTCACGATTTGCTTTCTTGATTTCTTCATTCCTTTGAGCTTGATGAACTTGCCTAAAGTAGTTATCTCTCTTCTTCATCCAAACAGGTATGTTGTAACCTTCAAAGCGTTTTCCACTCCCTTCTTCATATGGTTGGTAAGTATGGAAATTTCCTACGGCATCCATGGTTACAGTGTCCTTACGCATCAGCCTTTGGCGAAGGTTCCTTTTCTCTCTGCTCGTTTTCCCGGAAAATGAGAACTCAAAGGTGGATCCGAAGGATTAACGAGGCTTGATGGAATGTTGTCTGGGTCTTGAAGAGTATTGCTGTCGAGATCTAGATCCTGGAGGTGATGATCTCGTGTTCCTTGGTGGAGGGTTTCTCCTTTCTTCATGTCTCGTGGAGGATTTTTCTTCATTGATTCTTCTGGATTCACCAGGACGTGGTGGAGATCTATTTCTATCTTCGTCCTTATCATCATCCTTTTTTGTCTTTTCCCACTTTTTGGCATCATAACACGGGGAATCAGAAAATCTGGTTTGACTCTTAACTGCATTGAGCACATCTTTGACATACTCGAGCATAGTGAGCTGATATTCTGCCATTTGAAAAAGGTTGTCATGTCCTAAGTCAATCTTTGTACATGCAAGATCAAGTCATTCTTTGAGGCCGAATTGTGTGTGTTTGAGAGCATGCTGTTCCTTAGCAATTTTGTCAAGAATAGCGTGTTGTTGTTGGAGTTCTTGTGCGAGCTTGTCTTGAGTATCTGAGATGGAGGAGCTCGGTGGATGATGAGACATGGTTTGCATCAGATGATCCACTTTGGCAGAAAGATCTGCTATGTTTCGGCTGTCTTTTTCTCGATGAAACAGATATTGTTTATGAATAAGTTCAGCATTGAAGAACGCATTCAACACTTGATGCATGATGTGCTCGGGGCTAAGATACTTGATGCTTAGCTCTTGATCGGGATATGGACGCATAGGTTTGCGAAGAGCACTTCTATGTTCAAATGTAAAGGGCTGTGCTTGAGGTGATGCTTCCATGTTTTCATCACGAGGTGATGCGTCCTTATTGTCATCACGAGCTGGATCTTCAACTACTTCTCTTTGTCTTGGTTGTGGCATGGATTGAGACGGATCACGAGACAAATTGTTCTTAGGTGGAGATGATCGAGGTGCAGGTGATCTTTCGGGTGTGTATTCAGTATCACCAAGGATAGGAGATTCACTATCATAGTCTGAATTGCCACCCTCGTCATCATTGTTGTCTAAATCATCATCACAATCATCATCATCGTCATCTTTCCTTTCATCATCATCCTCATTCTCTTCATTTTCAGCATCTTCTTCATCGGTTTCTTCATTCTCAGTGACTTCTTCGTTGTTATTTTCGTTTTCAGTGTCTCCATTATTTCCATTAGCATCAGAACCATCTTCAATTCTTTCATGTGCAGAGGTTCTTTCGTCCTTATCTTCAACCTCCTTCCCTTCGTCATCTTTGGATCCGCAGACATCACAAGCAGGATTATTCTGATGAGTTCGTTCTAATTCCGTCTTGACTTTTGACTGAAGAAGAGCATATTTGAACTCTTTCATTTCTTCTTCAAATGCTGGGTCTAACGACGGCTTATTCAGCTCAATGAAAATAGGGGCTTTGTCATTCCCAAGAGTGCGATGGGTCACCTTGTAAGAGTATACACGGTTGATGGTTTCAAGACGGAGTGCGTTGTAGACGTCTTTTGTGCCAATCCATTCTAGAGCGAAATTTTCTTCATCCTTCATCTCATCAAATCTTTCAAGGAAAGTCTGTAAAGGAGAAGTTCGCCATTTTTGCCATTGCATGACTCTATTAAAATCGTTCTCAATTGATTGTGGGAGCAGCTGATCTCTTGATGGAGGAAAGGGCACAGCTTTAGGTACATGTACAACTGTTCGAGAGTTCTCAGTTATATCTGGTTCTTGTAAGATTGTAGGCTCGGGTTGAGATTCTTTCAGATCTGATTTAATCTGTGGAGTCACTTCTTTCGTCTAAGCTGGTTGCTTAGGTTCTTGTGGGAGACTTAAGTGACCCGTAGGTTGGGGCGCATATTCATTCTCATCTACCCTGACAGGTTCTTGTGTCAGAATGGAAACCATTTGCTCTACTTGGGTAGGTTCTTGTGAGAGGGTTGTTTCAACAGCCGGTGTGGAGGAAATGATTGGATCAGTGACCACTTGTCTCGTCTCATCTGGCAAGCCAGGTTCTTGTGGGAGACTTAGGTGGTCATTCAGAGCTTGAGATTCATAGGCACCCTTGTCCATCGTAGTAGGTTCTTGTGTCAAACTTGTGTTGAGTTGCTCTGCCTGGATGGGTTCTTGTGGTAAGGGAGATTTCTTCAAACTTTCAAAGCTTTTTGATCTCTTCTTTCTCTTCTTAGAGACTTTTTGAGATGAGCCTCGTTTCTTTTCTTCCCCCTGAGAAGATGCAGACTTCTTCTTCAGTTTAGATTTCAACATTGACACAGGAGGGGGAGCCAGTTTCGCCATGATTTCATTTGATTTAGCAATGGTAGGCCGAAAGTGGCTTTTCGATGTTTGAACAGGGCTGGTGAGTGCAATCTCTTCTCCTTCAGAGGAGTCATCAATGATAATGGGCTATGTGGATGAGATGTGTGGAGACTTCTGAGGATCTTCTTTTGTTGTGGATTCTGGTTCTGTGGGCTTAGAGACAGGATGGATTGATGATGGAGCTTTCATCTCAGTTTCGGTTTTAGCTGCAGATAAAACTTTTTTCTCTGATTCGGGCTGTGTAGTAGATGATGCCTTTGTTTCTGGGGCAGGGGTGCCTTTGGCTTTTCTGGATTTTTTGGCCTTGGGCATATCATCATCGGTTTCTTTGGCTCGTTTGGACTTTCGTTCCTTTTTCACCGAGTCCAATGACAATCCAAGCTCTAATGCTTTCTGCTTGTCATATCCAGAGGGTTTGGACTTCATGTGACACACTTTTCGCCCAGGTGAAACTCCTACTCGTAGAGGAACTTTCTTTGTGGCGAGAAGATGGCTGACTAGAAAACCAAAACCAATTTTCTTGGTAATATCTCTAGGGGAGGAACGTCCATTCGTGATGACGTGTCAAAGTTGATTGAAGACAACCTTCGACCAGTCCAATTTGTAATCCCCAAGAAAGGCATGCAGCATCTTCAATTTGTTATTGGTGACATCGTCTGTTCCCGGGGTCTTGTGTTCTACTATCTTGTTGAAAATGTCAACTGTGAACTCGTACTCCATACGTAACCATTTCTTCTTTAGAGGCCAGGTGATCTCGGCACTTGTTGGTCCCTGCTTGTTCTTGATCATCTCATAGAAAGCATTTTGCTCATAGTAGTAGCGAGAGAAATCGAGATGGTAGGTTTCATCTCGGTCTGGGAAGGTAAAAGCTTTCTTCAAGTCATCAACAGTTAGGACCATGGCGGTGCGATTTACTTCCGAGGTAATTTCGGATCCATCAGCAGAAACTTTTGCCTTCACATAGAACTGAGCGACATCCACTGGAAACTAATACGTGTATAGATGAGTTACAAAGTTATACAACCCACTTTCTTTTAGAAGATGAATCGCCGTTTTTCCAAACGACCGGTCAAGGACATACTCAAGAAAACCATGAGCGTCCCACATGTTGCCGCCAATGATGAATGGAACTTTGGACTCTATGAAGTTGATATCAGACGTTGGGAAGCTGGGTACCATCATTGTAGATGGTGTTTCCTGTTCAGCGTCGGAGGTTGGTATTTTGGATGATTTTTCCATAGCTACAAAGATAGAGATATAGGTATTCTGGGTTCAAAGCTTGGAAGGAAAATAGAATGATCTCTGAGAGGGTTGTGAGACTTGGAGTGTTGAAGAAGTTTTGGAAAAGTGGCGAGGAGGATGGTGATTTAGGTTATAAATGAGTAGGTTTTGCGAAGGGCTTTCTCATGGGCCAAGAAAATCATCCGGGTCACCCGACCTTTATTTAAATTTGAATGAGTGGGTCTTTTTCCATTCGACCAATGAGGGAAACTAATATGGTGAGTGCATCTGATAAGTCCAGTATCAGATCAATTTTTATCATCCGCATTAAATATGAGAGAGAAAGGCACTTGAGTGCACAACATCCACATTAAATGCTTTTCGTATCAACTGACAGAGGAGCATGGGATAGTGGGCCTAGTTTTGTGGCCACACGATTACCACTACCAACTTCATCGAACGGTTAGGGTGTAATTCCCGATTCCAAGTAACCATCAAAGCATACATTATCTAAGAGATATGTAAGATGTCACGAAAGATAAGTAAAGACTTTCACCAAGCCTTAGGTAATACGATTTTCGTGACCATGATTCATTTGTAGAAAGATAGAGCATACGAGACATAGAGATGAATTATTACACAGACGAACATAAACACTTTTACAGTCATCTCTCGATTTTCATGAGATAGGGTCATTTTTAAGTTCGCTTCACCCTCTTTCTCAGCTGGTCCTCGAGCTCTTGGATATGTTCTTCACAGAAGTTCTTCCACATCAGATAGGATGGATCAGTTTTGAAAGAATCCATTGTAGGAGATGATGGGCTGAGTGGTGGACGAACATTCTGGAGAAGAGTCGAAGGGAGCTTCTTAGCAGCCGAACCATGAGAGCTTTCTCCATGCTCAGATGATAGGATAAGATATTTGAACATCTCTTGAACTTCTTTCAGGTCCTTCTTCAGCAAGGAGACAGTAAAGGAAATCTTTTTCTTACCTTTGTCCATTGTCAAGAAATGTAGTGATCATACCAACATAAGATGCGTCTTTTATAGGCAAGTGTGCTTGTTCATACCGAGGTATGACACATATTCCCTGTGTGAAAGTCCAAACACTGAGAGATATCGAGTTCCAATGCTTCGGAAGATTCCTGACGAAAGATGTGACAAAGCATGTTTGAAAGATAAAGTAAATCAAATAAAGATCTACTTCTCTCGTGTTATCATTTCGTCTTGCATCATTTCGTGTTGAACCAAATAAAGTTTCGGTATTTGATAATAAAAGACGTTTATTTATGATGATCAGAGGGAAACATCAGATAGGAGTACAGAGGAGATAATAAACTAGAAAAATCATTTCTTCGATTTTCCCTTCACATCCTTGCTCTCCATTCCCTTCATCGACATCATTTTGCCTAACTCCTTGCGAAACCATTTCGCGGTCTTGACAGTCTTAGATCCAGAGGGAGTGGTTGCTGCCTTAGCTTCACTACCAAAGTCAGATTCACTGGTATTAGTGCTTAAGTACATGAGATAGTCACAGTCAGCAAGGGGATTTTTCCAATTTTCAACAGGGAAAGTCTTGTCCTCCTTCGATAGGTAGTGGAGCTTCATGAAGATCAGCAATGGGATTTTCTTCATCTTCAGAGGTTAGAGGTGCAACATCTTTTTCAGGCTGATCTTCATCAGAGGAGAGATCTAGAGGGGCATGCTCACTGTTTCCTGGGTAGAAATCTCCTTGTTCCTCTCTTAGCTTTTGAGCAGCTTCTTTCTCCTGCTTGGTTTGCAGACGTGTGACTGGCCTTCGAGGTGCCATAATCAAACTATTTCTGAGATGTGTTTGTGTGAGATTTGTGTTCACAACTCATGCCCTTTTATAGCTGATGTTTAGCATTGAGAGATGTGAGCATTGAATGACCATTTAATGTCTCTGCGTTATTCTTCGAACCATTTATAATGGCTTTGACCATTAGCGCGTAGTTTAATGATGACCATGAGGAAGGTGTAACAGTCACGAGATTTCTTGCGCATCAGTTATGATGTGATTCTCAGTAAGATAAAATAAATCAAGTAAAGATTTATTTCATTCATAATGTTTGTTGAGAACAAAGAACCAACGACCATACATTCTAGGACAAGGGAGGACTATTCGAGAACATAGAGAAATTATAGCAAAGAGATGACTACTTCTTCTCTTTTACCTTCTTTGTCTTACTGGTTTCACCTTTGTTCATGCAGGTTTCCTTCTTCACAAGATTCGCCCTCAATATATCCGATGAGTTCGGTTTTGCAATCATAAGTTCAGTAGAAGGCACGAAGATCTTTGTCAAGATTAGGATCATTCCAAGTTTCCAAGGACAAGAATCCCTTCTTAACCATGAGAGGAGGTTCCTCATTAGGATCAAATGGTCTTGCATCTTCATTAGATTCATACGTGATGAATCCATCATAATGTTCAAGATCTGAATCTGAAGAGATATCCAAGGGAGCACGCAAACTGTTTCCTGGATAGAGATCACCTTGTTCCTCACGAACAAGACAAGATCTTTCCTTGATTCTCTTTGTTGTATCTCTAGTGACGGGCTTCTTAGGAGCCATTGTTAGAGAATTTGATTTATGTTGAATCATCACAAGTAGCCTCCTTTTATAGACAAGGATATGAGATGGATAATCAATGTAAGTGCATTGATTTCAACAAGTCATAGATAACTTTGAATGGGGTCTTAAGATCATGAACGACGTGTCCTTTGTGTATTGGACATCGATTCCCGTGATCTTTGTAACTGATTTGAATCGGCTCATTTAAGACCATTAAAATTTCACACAGCTTTCAAGTTCAAGTTTGAACTCTTTGTGAGATGTCACTTCAGTAAATAATTTAGTCTTTGACCACTTTAGCAATGTTTGGACATTTTGGAAGCTTGGTCAAGATGATCATTATTACTGGCATCCAACAGCAAAGAACGTTATTAAGCAAGACCAGAAAGCAGGTAACCATGCCTTACAGAGGAGATAAACATGAGTGATTTAAAGAAAACGATAAGGCATGTGAAGTTCCAGGCGAGTTGTCTCATCAATCCTTTCGGGAATGCTGGCCATTTTCGCATATTTGTCTAGTTTCTCAAGTGAGAGGGTGGGCTCAGGCATTCCGCTTGGTGACTGAGTGTGAGCGAGAGTGAAATCTTCATAGGATGATTCATCCTTTTTAGAAACATTAGGTATAGGGTACCAACGAAAGGTGGGTTGAGATCCTTTAGATGAATTCCCATGTGCACTTTCAGAACCATTATTCTTTCGTTTGTCAATTTTCTAGCTTGTTCCTGATAGAATGTTCTCTTGGCTTGAGACTCCATGACGATTTTGTCTAGGGTTTCTTTGTCTTCCTTGCTGGCTGTGTTCGGCATAGAGTATGTGACATTGAATCTTTCACCATCCTCTTCCAATTTTATGATTGTGGCGTTGGTGAGTTTGCTTGCTTCTATGAGATGATGGTTTAGCCGAATTGCTCGCTTCTCTGCTTCGTCCATTTGTCCTTTGCCTTTATCTTGATTTATTCCTACAAACAACACTTACTAAAACACTAAAATATGTTAATAGGTTAGTGTGAGTAGGTTTTGTTGAAGGAGGGACCAATTTATAAGTGCAAAAGGTGAGGGTTGCGTGTAGATGTTTTCAAAATATTTTGGGTCCAAGTACCAGATCTCTCTTTTTAGGAATCTTTCAGAGATTTTGTGGTACTTTCCAATATATATTTTTATCCAATGG